GGGACGAGCGGGAGCCCCGGAGTGTAGTGTCGATGGAGGAACTCATGCGTGTCCTCCCTTCTAAACAGGACCTAGCGGACATGCTGCGTACACTTGAAATTGCTCTGAAAGCAGACATACAGGTGCTTAGAGATGAGGTCACTCACCTGCTCCACAGGGTAGAGGAGACTGAAAGTCGACTGGACAGAAATGCTGCTGCCATAACAATGCTACAGAACCAGCTTCAATCCGCAGCAAAGATGCAGCGGCAACTAGCTTCTCGTTTGGAAGAGCAAGACAATCGGGGGCGCCGCAACAACCTGCTGGTGAGGGGTCTCCCTGAGACAATAACCGACACAGACCTGGCGACTTCCTTGCGGGATATTCTTAACCCCGTAATGGGCAGGACACTTAACACCCCACTTCTATTTGACAGGGTGTACAGAATACCTCGCCCACGGGGTATACAGACTGAGACACCAAGAGATGTAATATGCCGATTGCACTACCATACAGACAAAGAATTTATCATGACAAAACTCCGGGAGATACCGCAGATAGAAGTCAAAGGCGTCCATCTACAAATCTTTCCGGATTTGGCCAGAGAGACTCTCAGTAGGCGCAGGGCCCTACGCCCGCTGTTGGATCTGCTCCGCTCCAAGGATATCCAATACCGTTGGGGCTTCCCGGCTTGCTTAGTAGCCAGAAGAATGGGTAAGACGTCAGTCCTTCGTTTCCCGGAAGAACTGGGGGCCTTCTGCGAATCCCTACAGGTTAGAGCACCGAAGCTACCTGACTGGAACGAGGCCTTGCCAACTCTGATGCCGCTTCAAGATCAGCAATGGAGGCCAGTAGGTGCCGCTCCACTGATGACCCCACAGGACACATGAAAGTTAAAATCTAGCTGATGATTTCGTTCGGAACTAGAAAAAAGGGCAACCTCCATCAGGTCGAGACCGGAATGGACTTTTAACGAGATGTTGGTGACTATGCATAACAATAATTTTGATATATATTGATGCACTAACGTAAATAAGTTTATGCGGGTATGTGACGGACTGGGTGGCTATGGATGCAACAAGGAGTTTTTTGGACATCCAGGGCTACCTAGGAGTCGGCTTGACCGGTGACACCTTAGGTGATCCCGCCACGCACCCCACAAGTTGTGAATCAGGTTCCAAGAGAACCCGTTTAAGTAAAGTCTTGCCTCAGTGTTTTGTCTATAAGACACATAACACTGAAGATCGAGAAAGGGGATCTTTTCTCTGATCCTCTTTATTGTCTATATGTAATGTATTTTTTTTTTGGAAAAGAGGCAGACGAGGCGACAATTAATAGAGGACATCAAATTAATTAGCTCTAATGTCCGGGGGCTAAATACCCCGTCCAAGCGACATGCCCTATATAGGGAACTGAAAACGCTAGACGGGGATATAGTGTTCCTTCAAGAAACACATATAGCACATACGTCGCAAGTCAAATTGTACTCTCAACAATACCCTATATGGTACTATAGCACGTCACCATCTAGTAAACATAGCGGCGTTGCCATTGGATTCCATAGGCGCCTGCCATTTAAGGTACTGAAAATGAAAACCGACTCGGCCGGGAGATATATATTCCTACAGGGAGAGATAGGACAGCAGATATACACCCTGGCGAATATATACGGTCCAAATCAATCACAGGTACCGTATTTAATTAAAATATTAAATTATTTGACGGACTTCCAAGTAGGTAAAACTGGCGGGGGACTTCAATATACACATGGATCCCTCCCTAGACTCTACATCAGGCCGATCACATATAACATATAAACAAATTGGCAAGTTTAAAACACATTTACATAAACTACAGCTTATGGACACTTGGCGTATACTACATACATATGAACAAAATTACACGATTTATTCACCGGTGCATAATATGTATGCCCGTATAGATTATATATTTTTAGAGCACAGACACCTAGACTCACTTCGGGAAGCTAATATACACACGGCCACGATATCAGATCACGCCCCTATATCTATTCACCTAGAGAGACCTGGAGAGATTAGATCCCCATATAGGTGGAGACTCAATGAACAGCTACTGGCTGACCCAAATGTTGAGTCAGCTATTAAAGAAGACCTTAATCTCTATTTTAGGGGAAATGATATTGAGCCTATCTCTCCAGGGATACTCTGGGAAGCCCATAAGGCAACGATACGGGGGAAATTCATCGCACACGGTGCACGTAAAAAAAAGGAACACACCCATAAAATCACGGAATTGACGCATAAGATAACCATTTTAGAACGGCACACAAACTATCCTTGGCAGAAGACCTCCTTAGGGAGCTAGGCGAAACGTGAAGAACTGCGTAAGGTTCTGCAAGTCAAATATACCAGATCCGTGAATTATCTGTCTCAGCAGACCTATGAGTTTGGGAGTAAACCAGGCAGGCAACTGGCACGTATGCTTCGAGTTCGCCAAAATGCAGGTTTTATCCCCAAACTCAAGACCGCGACGGACCCTTTAGGTCTAGTAGGCATTTTAAGGGGGAACCCCAACGCCAAAAAAGTTGGTGGTCAGTGCGGGCTCCCTGGTGGTCAATGCGGCTCTCCGGTAGTCAGTGCAGGCTTTCCCTGGTCAGTGTGGGCTCACTGTGGTCAGTGGGGGTTCTCTGTGGTCAGTGCAGGTTCTGGGTGGTCAGATTGGGCTCACTGTGGTCAGATTGGGCTCACTGTGGTCAGTGCAGGTTCACTGTGGTCAGTGTGGGCTCTCTGTGGTCAGTGCGGCTGCTGTAACCCTGGTAGTTCTGCCACTGGTATAAGTATCAACCACTGCGGGAGGGAGCTGTGGAGTTTTGGCCTGCTGGATGTTTTAATGAAACTGTTTTATCTCTATTATTAAAATCATAGTGGAAAAAAAAGTATGTGGGGGGATGCTCAATAGGGACAGTATGGAGGCACACAGGTGTCACACAGAGAGGAGAAGGGGAGGGGGAATGAGTATTACACAGTGAGTTGAAATACTGCCACAGTGACAGTGTCACTATCTGCAGGCTGCAGCTCTCTCCGTCCACCAGTTCTCTGTCCAAGATTCCTGCACGCCGCACCCCTCTCAAGTGTCCACACGCTGCCTGGCGGGACCCGGCTGCACCTCCATTGCAATGCTGTCTGCTGGAAAATGAAGTTGTCTGGCCAGCGGCAGCTATAGCGTCTGCACTCCGCTCCTCTAACTTCCATGAACACCACCGCGGGCAGTGTGAGGGAGCTGCGGGTCCGGCTCTGGCTGCGCTCCCTCACAGCTGCACCCGAGGTGAGTGCCTCACTAGCCTCACCCTTCCTACAGCCCTGGCAGTCACATGGTTTACTATAGCTATAGTTATGCTATTGCCTAGAGTTCCCTTTTACTTTAAACAATTGGCAAACTTCCTTGATAAATTCTTATTCTTACACAGCCAAACAGAGGGCACTATTAAGACCCTTTTCCTCTAAGCCAGTGGTTCTCAACCTTTCTAGGGCCAGGACCCCTTGGTAACATTTGCCAAGTTGTGGTGACCCCCAACGGTAAAATTTAGGGTTGACGCGGCTGCTGCAGCGACATCTGGCGGCGTGGCGGGAGAACTGACACTGCTGCGCTAGGAGAGGGTGGAGGTGTGTGGGCGGGGCGGGAGCTGCGGCCGGTCTTTACACAGTTTATGTGCAGCTACCCCGGAAGTAAGACCTAGCGGATTACATTGTACTGCATTGCACAAAGCTGTCACTTAGAGCTTGCTTACAGACAGAGAGAGCATAATGAGCTTGTGATATCTGACTTTACTTTAGGCAATATCGTCCAAGTGAGCACAATATTCCATCATAGTGACCCAATTCTGATTGTTTCTTGGGGCCCAATTCTTTATCAGCTCTGCCTGGCCTTGTACATTCGGACTGTGCATAGGAAACATGTCTGAATTGTAAGCACGTAATTTCATTTGCATCTTTTATTTTAGGAGCAGTATGTGAACTGACAGTTCAACCTTTATCAACACAAGTCAGCATCTATATTATCTAGATATTACTGGTACATCCCATATCCTGTTATACTGTAAGACTTTATTAGAACAGACGCAGCTGATAACCCTCTTTTATTTTAACCAAGGTGTAGAACTACCAATATAACAGGCTACAAATCTACCAGTGAAGTAGCAGTGCAAGGATCAAAGAGCAGGGCGTAGTATTCCATAGCAATCAATTCCCTTTCTAAAAACCACAGTAGTGCAATATGAATCTTGATCAGTTAATATTGCACTTTTCACTTTCTTTGTTCTTTTCTTTTAAAAGAACTGACAGAAGGATTATGCATTATAACCTGTCTAGGAATGAATTATTTTTTTATGCATCATTTACAATGGAATACTGTATACATTGTGTACAGAGGCTCCTCTGCCTGACTCTTTTTTAATATATGTACCCTACCAGCAAGAGTCTGTGAGGGATGCATAGGACAAAAATGCATGTTTGCATAGTTTAGTCTACTTGGTTTAATGGAATAAGAACTTATTTAGGCAGTAACAGCTTTGACTATGAATATGAAAGTAGGAGATAGGACACACAATGGTGGGCTGGAGCAAGAAAAACTACCAAATGGACGGGAGTCAGGAATGATGGCAGAGTGATCTCACTGTTGTTCCAAATAAAACAAAGATGCAGCCAGTGGTTTACTTATTCTAGAAAGCTCTAACTAGAACTTTCACTTCTTGATGGGCTGGTCCTTTATGAGGTACAGAATCTGTTGGTGGTATGTAAACTCATGAGATTTTTTTTAAACCTTGTAGAAAATAAAACAGTGATCTAAAATGGAAAAAAAAATAATAATAACGAGCTTAGCAATTGTGTGAGAATCATTTTATTACAAAGGAATCATTAAACAAATTGTAAAAACCCAGATAGATTGCAAAGCATGCAGTGGCATCTAAATACTTTGTTCAGCTTTAAAACCCAAATGGCCATGGGAAAGGAAGAGGTTAATATACAGAAAAACAAAGGCTATCACTCTTCTGATTCCAATGGGCGAAACTTCATCTCTGAGAACTTGAGTGAGTACTGGACTCCTCTGAATTTGGACCAGGCAATCCCCCCTTTTTCCTTGTGCTCCCCTCGAAGATAAAGCCCATTCAGAGAGGCATCAAAGCAGGCTTTGTGCCACCAGGGGGCAGTATAAAGAACAGCACAATTGGCCTTGTTGCTGCCTCCACTGTCCTTATCCTTGGTAGAAAACCTTTGGTTCTTGTGGTAAGAGAGCGAATCACCTAATGAGGGAACAAATAAGTGGTCAGTTTGTTTCCTGTTTACATTATAAATGTCTTGTAAAGTGTATCAATAGTCAAGTTTTTTTTTTCGTTTTTTTTGGAAAGAGCAGGGAAGAGTTAAAACCTGTCAGGTTTTTTTTTCGTTCTTTTATTTTTTTTTGCCCTGTCCATTTGGGGGAATTTTAGGGGCGCGCGCGAGCAGAAAATAATTGCCGTCTGGAGACAGCAACCCGCAAATGCAGCAGTGCCGTCCGTCCGTTTTTTTACTACGGCGGACGGCAAGAGGTTAACTTAACTTTTTGTGCTGGAGACACATTAGATCCCCTCACAGGTGTCCCCATTGGAAGACATTCCCTCACCTCCTGTTCCAATGACAATCGTAACATTTTAGATTTCCCATCACTTTGACACAGACAGCACTAGAAACCTAACAAGGGCTCAAATCCTTCCCTTTTCTATCCAAAATAAGTGATAGAAATGTTGGTTATGGATACATTAATTTGCATAAATCAATGAGGGCTCACAGCAACAGCACATAGTAAACAATTATTCTGCACATCTCCTTATGCAGTGGTGTATCCAGGGTATGGCACATGCCCTTGGTGCCACTTGAAGGGGAGCACTCCTCCATAGGTCAGCATAAGTTTGCTGACTATCACCGACACCCACAGCTGCTAGTTGGTTTCTAGGGTTGCCTGGCATCCTAGCACCGAACCAATGATGTGCACACTCTCCCCAACCTTACCCAGTATTTAGGCAGAGAAAAGAGGAGGACGGAACATCTTCTAAGAGACCTGCTCCCACAGTACTCTGCCTCCTCCAGTTTGCCGACCCAAATCAGTGAGTAAGTTATTCACCTGAGCTGCCTCCTCCAGTACTCCACCTCCCAGCCTGAGAAGAGACTCTGATGTAAGTGGGAACTCTGATGTAAAGTGGGACAATGGGGACTGAGTCCCTAGAGTTTCTCCTGACATCAGAGTCCCCTCTTACATCTGGGTCCCCAGAGCCCCTGTTTACATCAGAATCACTGATGTAAAAGGGGAATTCCAGACAATCTGATGCGAGGGGGGGGGGCTTTAATGTAAAGAGGATTCCCCCAGTATCCCTCTGTACATCAGCACCTGTTAAAAAGTTATCTAAAATATAGGTGTCAGATATTGGAAAGATGTAGATAAACCACCGAACACCTGACCAATGTACACTTTTTGGTGGGTGCTGAAATGACTCTGTGGATGGTGGCACATACATCCAAGAAGTTGATATGTCATCAACACACCAAGGATCTTCATCCAATAAGGCCTTTATTGGCGCTCGGTAATAGTATCAAATGTCTCGAGACCACGCAGGGTTCCTTCATTAGGCATAATGTGGTCACAGAGGAAGACCAGTTGACATAGTTTATCTGGACTTTGCCAATGCATTTGATACAGTACAAGCATTTCATTTACAAACTAAGGACTATTGGTATTGAAGAACTTGTAGGTACATAGGTAGAAAACTGGTTACAGGAAAAGAACGTAAGGGTTATGATAAACAGCTTATTTTCTAAATGGTCCAAAGTCAAAAGTAGGGTTCTCCAGGGTTCGGTCCTAAGACCAGTTCTGTTCATCTTATTTATAAACAATATAGAGGTTGGAATCAATAGCTCAATCTCAGTGTTTGCTGATGATACCAAGCTATGTAGGGCAATCATTTCACAACAACACATAGAATCACTGCAGCAAGATCTAGATAAAACTGTGGAGTGGGCTGCAACATAGCAGATGTGAATCAGTTTTGATAAATGTAAAGTTATGCACTTGGGAGCTAGGAACATGCATGCAAAATACTCTTTTGAAGATGCTCCACTGGGGAAGTCTGGAATGAAGAAAGATCTGGGGGTCCATATAGACCACAGACTTAGCAATAGCATGCAATGCCAAACTGCAGCTAACAAAGTGAGCAGAATACTGTCCTGCATTGAAAGAGGGATTTTTGCAAGGGATAAAAACATAATTCTACCACTTTATACTAGTTCGCCACATCTTTTAAAAAGAGTTACCTGCGGTACCCCCAGTGTACTTGTTCAAATGGAGAGTGTATTGCTCTGACTCCCCTCCGAGCGAGAATCCTTCATAGATGGCATATGTGTTATTGTTGTCAAAATCTCCAATATCTACACGGAGTTCGAAATCACCTGTAAGAACCAACATCTTTAAAAAAAACTATCTATCCATCTTTTCTCTCTCTCTCTCACTCACTCACTCTCACTCTCTCTCTTTTTCTCTCTTCCTTTCTTCTCTCCATCTACCATAATTCACCTTTGGCAGTCAAGGCATGAATATTTTCATTTCCCAACCAGAATTCGCTCCACTGATTCCCAAATCCTTCCTTATAGCTTTGCCAGCCACGGTAAAAATCAACGGAGCCATCCCAGCGTCTTTGGAAAATCTAAACAAAAATTGCAATGGTCACATATACTACATTGTGTCAGTACATGAATACTCATCTTGTTTCAATTACATAATACTGTCATAAAACTTACAATCCATCCCCCACCATCTGTTTCCATATCACACATGACTCTCAGCGGACTTCCATCTGGATATATGTAATACCACCCTGTGAGGGTTAACCCTAAATCCATCAAATCCTTACAGTTCCGAGGACCTGCAGAGCAGACAGAATAAACATCTTACATGTACATCATATACCTGTACCTGATTACATTGTATTAGCCCTGCCCTAATGTGCATGTGCACCGGTATTTACTGATCAAGGGTTATTTTATTTGTAATGAGCAGAAATCTAAATTTGAGCCCTCTATCATAATTTTTTTCAGTTCATCTTGATCAGCCTATTTATAAAAAGATAGGTGTTGACATTGTGATTACCAAAGTATTATTTAGGCGAAATTCATCTTCCTAATAGATATTGCCATATTCACCAATGAAATGTTTATTCTCTCATATTTTTGTGTACTTCTGCCCCTTTTTCCCATAATTTACCAATATGTTATACAAAACCTTTCACATCTGAGTCTCTTCATTTTTATATCATATTCAATTTTGCCTCTGAGAGCTCAGACCTACTCATGTTTGGTTAAGTGACTATGCAAAGCTGTGTTTACTTTGAATATCCAATCATCTTCAAGGGAAATGAAGAAAAGTTGATTTTTGCTTGCACATGATTGAATGATTACAGTGAGCCCACCTTCACCCTATTTCCAGATTAAGTGAACAATCACTTGCAGAGTGAACAAACATTTTGTGAACAGTCTCTACTCCTTTACTAAATGAGCCCCATTGCACAGTGCTGTGTCATATGTTGCCTATTTATAAGTAAAGGATAATAGGAATACCTATTTATGTTTTGTAAGATCTCTCTCACAAAGGCCAAGAATAGACATAAAAATTTTTTCCATTTTCTTACCTTCGGCAGGATCTCCTCTTTCACCTGCAAGATAAACAGATTTTAGAATGTTTAAGAGAAGTTTAAAAAAAATGTTGTTTCTGACTTGCTTTCTCCAAGTCTGATTGCCATATTGCAAAGGCTGCTCATAAAAGCCCATTCGTTAGATAAAAAAATGTTTTTTTAGAAATGCTCCCTGTGTAGAAAGGGTCAATACCTACTTGTTATTCTGCTGATTATCTTCTGCATCCAACACTTCTGGGTGTGTCAGATGCCTGGTCTCCCTTTGCATGCTGTGGTTCCATTCGTCAGCCCCCACACCACTACTATTCATGTGCTGACATAGGAGTTGGCAGATGGAACCATATCATGCAAAGGGGACAAGGCATCAGAGACAAAAAGCCTGTTGTTGACGGCTCCTACATTTGTAATAAAGTTGTTTTTCTGTGTAGATTGTTGTAAACTTGATGTTTGCTGTAGATTTAATGTAAAGCTTTTGTAAGTAGTTTTGATAATTCAGAGCATTGCAGTGGAGATTGCAAGTAGTAAAACTGTCACAGCGTGTATAGCGAGGAGAGGGAGGGTGGATGAGGCAGCTGTGTGCAGTGAGAGTTGATTCCTCATTGCCTCATGTGAGTTGTAGGCAAATAAAGATGTGCACATGACCAGAATCAACGTGCACGGCTCTTACTAAGTCACATGACAAGGGTACTTCAGAGGGATCCCGTCTTTTCCCCCATTCACCCCACCACACTGTGGCCTGTCCCCCACCGAACTCCACCCCCCACCGTTTTCCCAATAAAACACGCTAGACCGTATGGAGTTCAAAAGGGCCACAGCAGCCACTTATTTCTTTAATTTAAATACCAAAATTCAATACAAAAATAAAACCAATATCTTAATCTGAAACAAAACATATACCAGTATAAACATTTCTTTTTTAACCCCCTGGTTTCTGGGTCCCTGAAGGCACCTGTAAACAAAAGGAAACACCGCCCCATAACCAATTATGTCTACGCCCTCCAGATGACTCGTAATTGGCCCCCAGCCGCACAGCACCGCCTCGGGGACATTTATCTGTTTGACGTAGACACCTCCAGCCCAAAAACTAGGTGTTCAACACTTGACACCACTTAAAAGGAGATCCACACCTATGATGGGTCCCCCACCATTCTACATAACTTACGGCATCCCTACCACCTTCAAGGACCCCAAACCGCCAAGACTGCCGTGACGAGCCACTCGAAAACCTAAATAGCAACAAAGAAAAACACACAACCAAATTAACAACGAGAGAAAAACGCAACAAAAAGTTCTGTAGGGGCGGGTGGGCAGGAAATACCTTCTCCTGGTCTAATTCTTCTGCAACTGGACTCTTCCCAACTCCTCCCAGGATCCCCACCTTTGGAAATCCCACCCTCTCCCAATGCCTCCAATCAGGTAAGCGACCCCTCCTTCCTTATTCTGTGTTTTCCTTTCCTATTAACTCTTCCTATGCTTGTCTCCCCTTCTCCCCCTGTCATGCTGTCTTTCCGCACAATTCCCTTTCTTCCTTGTGCTCCATGCCTTTCTGGAAGTGTGAGGGGAGGGAAGAGTAACGGGAGCGAGCACAGCAGACTTTTTAAAGTGATTAAATATAGTAAGACTTTATTTTAAAACATAAACAATTGTGGCTTTGGAGAATGCCCATTGTGTAGATGTGTATAAGGAGAAAAAAGCTGTTTTTTTTGTTGCTTTAAAAGAGAACTATGGGGTAAGTGTTTTTCCCCATAGTTCTCTTAAGGGTCAAGGAAGGACATATACTAGCATCCTCCCGTGACCCAAAGCTTAGTATATCGCGCTATACTGAGACCGCCGCGGCAGGGACGGATCCTGACAATGCTGTCGAGATCCACCCAGTTGCGTGAGTGACAGCTGGCTCTGCCTATCTAGAGGCAGAGCCAGCTGTGCCTGCCCCCTCCCCGTCCATTCCTGCAGTCAGCACTGGAGGATTGGAGCAGGAAGGGGGGAACCCCCTCGGGGAGCAGTGACTGACAATCACCGCTCTTTGCAGGGAGATGATCGAGAAGTGAGCGAGCTCACTTCCCGATCTATTGAGCCGAACTGTGACAATTTAATTGTCACACGTCGGCTCGAACTATGAGGATGAGTGATTTTCACTCACCTCATAGTTCTCCTTTAAGTCCATCTCTGTCTAGCTGCATGTTCCTCTCCTGAAGAAGCCCATTTGGGGGGAAAAACATTGAGATTAGGATAGAAACCATCCTTGGCTTTATCTGCAGTGATACCATCTGTACAGAGATGGACCTTTTTTAAAGGCAGATAATAATACAAAGAAAGCTCATGAATCTGCGATAGCTGCCTGTGGTGAATTTATGACATTCTAATCATGGAAATGTACAGTATATTGGTTTTATTATGTCATAAAGTAATGAATTGTACACTCCCAATTAAATGGATCAATAAAAATGAAAATGTATAATTTTTAACAGTTATTTACTGTCTTAGACCCTTTAAAGCCCTACTTTTTTCGAGTACTAGCCCAAATACTAGGTATCGGCACTGATACCGATGCTAGTTTCGGTATCAGTGCATCCCTACATTTAACCCTTTGTTAGTACACACAGTCATGTAAATATACAGCTTACAACTGATAATAAAGATGTGCCAGCACAGTACAGACAGGGTTAATTATGATAAACACAACTCCCCAGCCCCCTCTTTAACATTGCATACAAGAGGGAAGCTAAGTAAGAATTTTAGCAAGTAAAAAAGTAAGCAGCGATTTTTAACTTTTTTTTAAAAGTTATACTATGTGAATGGGAACATTTAAAAAATATAAAGTAGGTGCTATCCTAATTTACCTACAAATTACACTTTAAGCATATATGCATGGGCAAGAACAGGAATAGGGTGTTCTTTGTAAAAAAAAAAGAAAGAAAGAAAGTTATAGAGAGGTCTTCTTGTAATGATGATAGAATTGGGGAGAATGGTGCATTACCCCAAACAACCTTTTATATCATACATGGCTTATTACCTTTTGCTCCTTGTGGGCCATCATTACCCTTTTCTCCTGTTGGAAGGGAAAACATAAAAAAAAGTGAAGCCTATACAATGTATTTATTTTAGCCCACAGAAAACTCAGAATAAAGGCTTGTACAGAATAAAGGCTTCTAATACAAATAACCTCTTAAAACCAATTACATTTAAATTGGCCATTGCCAGGTAAAAAATTAGATTTTATTGGTTGTGTTACCTTACTTGTCACTGCACTTTGCATTGCCTTGTGAGTATTTTACCTTCTTAAAATCACTTGAGGGCCTGTGGTTACTGGATAGGGTTGGGCATGGCCCAGCTGTCATGGTGCACATCGGCACCAATGACAAAATAGGAGTAAAATGGAGTGTCCTAAAAAGCGAGTTCAGAGACTTAGGTGCTAGGTTGAAGAAAAGGACCACCACAGTAGTATTTTCTGAAATACTGCCGGTGCCACGAGCCACTCCAGAGAGGCAGAGGGAGTTGAGAGAACTGAACAAGTGGCTGCGGAGCTGGTGTCGGAAAGAGGGCTTTGGGTTCCTGGAGAACTGGGCTGACTTCTCAGTCGGTTACCGGCTCTATAGCAGGGATGGCCTGCATCTTAATGGGGAAGTTGCAGCACTTTGGGGGGAGAAAATGGTTAAAAGACTGGAGGAGCTTGTAAACTAGATAATGGGGGGACTAAAAACAGATATAATAAATATAGTACAGGCAACTTCAGGGGCGATTAATATTGAGGGCAGTAACACAAAGAGGGATAGAGGGCTCACTCCAGTCAATCTAGTTAATTTAATGACTCCAGTTAATCTAATAAGTAATGTGTCAACCATACCAAGATCTAATAAAAAAAGTAGTGGGGCTCCAGAAAGGAGTAATAATAAAAACCAAACTACCACTAAACTAAAATGTATGTACACCAATGCTAGAACTCTAGCAAACAAGATAGAGGATCTAAGAACGTATGCTACACGATGAGGAGTACGATATAGTGGGAATAACAGAAACTTGGCTAGAGAGTGCACATGACTGTGCTACCAATATACAAGGGTATAACCTGTTCAGGAGGGATAGGGTTGGTAAAAGGGGGGGGAGGGGTATGCATGTATGAAAACAATCTAACTGTGCACATACGGGATGACCTCATGAGAGAGAGTTGCGATGGTGTAGAGTCCTTGTGGCTGGAACTAGATAAGACTGATGCTAGTTGTAAACTAATTGTGGGTTTGTGTTATAAACCCCCGAACATAGGGGAAGAGGAGGAGGCTCATCTACATTCCCAAATAGAAACAGCTATAATATCATGACTAATGACATCTATAAAAAAAAAATAAAAAATTTTAAATATTGTGTTTCCAGTAAAAATTATTGTCTTAATTATTTGCGCCTTATCCTTGTGATAGTGAACCCCAAGTTTTGCATATATAAAATACATGTAACTAATAGCAACCCATGGACATTATAGTGCCTATTTATATGTTATAAAATTTAAATTGTACATAAAGTAATTGAAAGAATCAAAATATACATAAAATTATTATCACAAAAATAGTGCAATGAGTCCAGCCAAAAATGTAAATGGAACATAGCCCTGATTTCAAAAACTTGCCAGCAGGAAGGATTTTTATTGCAGAAGAGACATACTATGCCTCTTCTTACCTTCATCCTTGCAACAAATAAATTCAAGTATGTATTAATGATTTCAGAGCTGCATTCATTTGTGATTTCTTTATCTGCCCAGATTTCAGCTTTGTTAAGTACTATAACGTACCCTTAAGCCCAGGAAATCCAACTTTTCCTTCAATTCCAATGTCCCCCGGATTTCCTGCAGAAATAGAAGAATTACGGGTGATCTGAAAAGCATTCAGAGACGCTCCTTATTTAAATGAATACATATTTTTACATTTAGCCGTCAGCTCTGACTGTACAATAGATTTTGTTGCTTTCTCTCCAGTAGTGATTGCTATAAAAGTATAGTGCAGCAATCGTCACATTTTACCACCATTATGAAGGTTTGTCAATGTAGCTATTGGATTTTTTATTAAATACAGTAATTAGAAGGCCACGAGACAAATTAGTTACTGGCAACTGGAGAGAGAGCGAGGAGCCCTAACAGGGGGCTTATATATAAGAAACAGGTGGGTGATACAGACAAGCAGCCTACGCGTTTTATTGAAAATTCAGTTTTGGCTGCACTGGTTCTTTTTTTTTTTATTAAATATTTATTTATTAAATTTTCAAATTTCACATGTCATACAAATACACATAACTAACATAATGCATTCCTGGGGGTATCCACGGAATAGATGTCAGGGGTATATCCACCTCTGCCTGCTCCACCGACACCCACAATTTCCGGTTTCCCGTAATAAACCAATCCAGCATTCTACTTAAACCCACCGCTTGATAATATATTTCCATATGAGGCAATCCTCCTCCACCATCCAATTTTCTTTTAGTCAATATGTCATATTTAAATCGAACTCCTGTTTTGTTCCATATATATCGTGTCTGCATCTGGAAGATGTAGAGGAATCTTGGGAGGACGTCCATTTTAAATATGGACATCCTCCCAAGCCAGGAATGTTGTTTCCCCCTCCACCCATCCAGGCGTATCCTCGTGGATTCCAGCAGAGGAGCATAGTTTAACAAGTATAGCTTCCTCAGGTCAGCTGGAATATAGATCCCTAAATATTTCAATGCTTCCGGTGCCCATATGAAAGAAAAGCTAGTGCTCAGGGTCCTCTTAGTAAATTAATATCCAAGCATTGTGATTTGCTTGCATTGATACAATAATTGCTAACTTTCCCGAATTTCTTGATTTCTTCTAATATCGAGGGGAAGGCTAGCCTTGGGTTAGTTACATATAGGAGTACATCATCAGCAAATATACTCAGTTTATGGGTGCTCTCTTTTACTTTCATCCCCCGTATATTCCCATTCTGGCGAAGGGCAATTGCCAGATGCTCCATCGCTATGATATACAACATGGGGGGACAGAGGACATCCCTGTCTTGTCCCATTTGGGATTTCCAGCTTATCTGATAGTATTCCGTTCACGCGGATCCGCGCCGTTGGGTTTGTATACAGTGCCATGATCTTTAATACTAGGGGAGTCGGTATTCCTATCTGCTCTAGAGATATTTTAATGAATTTCCAATCCACCCTGTCAAAGGCCTTCTCTGCGTCTAGGGATAGTAGACACAGAGGAGTTTTCCTTGACTGGGCTTGTTGGATCAGGGAGATAGTTTTGATAGTGTTATCCCTCGCCTCTCGTCCGGGAACAAAGCCTGCCTGCTCTGGGTGGATTATTTCCTGTAAAAATGGTTGTATGCGTAAGGCCAAAATTTTTGCGAAAATTTTCATATCTACATTTATTAATGATATCGGCCTATAGCTCGAACACTGTGTGGGGTCCTTTTTATCCTTATGTATCAATGTTATATAGGCCTCTTGGCTCTGACATGGGAACCCACTTCCATCACCGATGGAGTTGAACACTTCCAATAATATTGGGGCCAGTTCTCCAGCAAATTGTCTATAAAAAACAACCGTTAGCCTGTCGGGACCTGGGCTTTTCCCCCCCGGTAGTGAGTGAATTACTTTTATGATTTCTTCCAATAAAAATGGGGTATCCAGTTTGTTTATTGCTTCATTGTCTAATCTAGGCAGGGGTGTCTGCTACACATAGTCCAGTTTGTTTTTTTGGTCCTCTCTTCCCTCTTTTCTTGTTATATTTTCCTTAAGATTATATAGGTTGTTATAATAGTTATGGAATGCTTCCGCGATCTGCTCTGAAGAGTTAACTATACCCTTTTGTTTACAATTAATTTTTGGGATATATGTTCGGGCCTGTTTCTCTTTTATCGAGCGTGCCAAATGTCGACTACTTTTATTTCCAAATTCGTAGGTAGTTCGCTGCACTGGTTCTTCACATTGATAGCACTATTCATTCATACTTATGCTGGGGCCTGGAGTGCCCCAGTGTGAATAATGTAATCTGCTGGAGTGCATTGCAAAATTTTACCTGGCCTCAAACCTTACAATCTCCTTGCATATAAATTGAATGTGTTGTTTAGGCCCTCACACTATTATTGTATGTACTACTCTGTTTCTCCCGAAAATAAGACCTACCCCAAAAATAAAACCTAGTACTATTTTGGGGAATTGCTAAAATATAAGACCTACCCCGAAAATAAGACCTAGTTGTGATCATTCCCAGGGCCGGTAGTGGCATAAGGGGGAACTTGAAGAGCCGCGGGAGAGAGAATCAGTGGTGCCAACGAAGCCAGCCGATGTTTCCTCTATAGCGCCGGTTCCTGCCACAGGCAGAGTAATACCAAATGCCTGTGAAGAATCGATAGTGAAAGTGTGCTTCGCTCATTCTGGTTACCAAATTACTCTTGAAAAGGTACGGCACCCCCGATTGCCTTGATCACCCTATTCTTAACTTTGCCATTTTGGATTTTTTAATTTCGATTAACGTTAGATTGTTGTACATTAAAAAAAGACCTACCCCTAAAATAAGACCTAGTGTCCCAAAAGACCTAGGGCCCCAAAAAATATAAGACAGTGTCTTATTTTCGGTGAAACACGGTATACTACATTACTATATATTACACATTATATTTGCTGGAAAATCTAATGTTAAGTGCCTGGCCAACTGTGGATAAATGTTTTCCTGAAATGAAATTGTTGAAAGTGAGGGGCTTGTTTATTGTGGGGCAGCATGAATTTTCACTCACCTTTTTTACCTATTTCACCTTTGTCTGAAGGCAACCCAGGAACTCCTTTAAATAGAAACAATATATTATTTGTTTGCTTGAGGACTTTGATTATTTTAAAGAAACCCTGTCACCAGGCCTCCATTTTTCCCCCCTTTATTTGTGATGTTCTAAGCAAAGAAAATGTAACAGGTATCTGACACTTCTGGGGTAAGTGACCAGCTCTCCTGTGTGCACGCTCCTGCTGTAAGGCCCCATGCACAAGGGACTCCTGTATTAAACACGGGAGACGTTATCTGGTAAGTATAAACAACTTTTATGCTTCCCAGATCACTTTTCCTGTGTTTAGATTTTCCTGGGTTTAGCCTCGTTCTCATGCGTAAAATCAGTTTAAACGATCCCAGGATGCAAAAAACTATTGTTTGTGTAAACACAGTTAGACTCAATGCACCTAGACGCTGTAGAAAGTCTAGGTGTGCATGCAGCCATAGTGTCAGGGACCATAGCACCTCCAGGTGGCGCTGGAGCCAGGTCCTGCAGTTCATGCGCTCGCCTGCAGGTGTTTCCAGCTAGCCAGGAACTTGATAAAAAAAAGGGTCAATTAATTAAAAACACATTAATGATCTGAGATACATAATGCAAAAACTGTAAAAAATTAGATAAACATCACATGAAAAACATACATTTAAATTCACAATATAAAGTGTGATGTAATTAGTACATGGTTGTGGCAGTTAGTAGGAATGCAACGGTATTGAGTACAATTTTCGGTATCAAGTTGGAGTACCGATAATTTTTTCTCGGTACTTGCCGATACCGAATACTGATACCGGAAGTCCCATTAAGGAAGCCGGGCGGCGTGTAACGACCCGCCACCCGGCTTCCTGATTAGCTGATAGGCTGCCATGGAGCTGGCTTTCTGGCCAATCAGGAAGCCGGGCGGCACATCATTACCCACGCCCCAGCTTTTTGATTGGCTGGGAAGCTGCCTCCATGCTCCCTCATCGCATAGTGAGCCGGCTTTCTGATTAATCAGGAAGCCGGGGGTGAGTCATTACTTGCCCCCCCCCCCGTTCTCTTTTGTCACCAGGTGACGAGGAGACATGGAGCCGGCTTTCTGGCCAATCAGGAAGCCAGCCAAGCCAAGCAGGAAGCTGGGTGGAATGTAATGACTTGCTGCCCGGCTTCCTGATACCAGAAATTCTGGTATCGAAAATAGCATCAGAGCATTTAGGCGAGTACGAGTACTCGCCCAAATACTATTATTGGTATCAGTGCATCCCTTGCAGCTAGTATTTGTACCCAGCCTGTGGCAGTGTGCAAGTGTTCATAGCCAGGCAATGGAAGTATTTGAGAACACATTGCTGGAAAGTTCATTCAAAGGACGATACAGAGAAGAACGCCATCCTGAAGGCAGGAATGGGACCAAATAAAAAACAATTTTTACTCCTTGGCTGGTTTTTAATGTTATGGGTGCAATTGACTGTACCAATGTGCCACTGGAAACAACAAAAACATTTATAGGTGAAAAAATAAAGCCTAAATGATGAGCTAAATACCGCTATTTAAAAAAAAGTAAATAACTTATAGATTTTAGTGAATTGTTTACTAAAAGGAGAACTATGGGGTTAAGGCTTTTACCGCGGTATACTGAGACGCCGCAGCTGAAGCGGATCCCGACACTTGTGCCGGGATCTGCCCAGCTGCGTGACTGACAGCTGGCTCTGCCTATCTAGAGGCAGAGCCAGCTGTACCCGCCCCCTCCCCCGTCCGTTCCGCCAGTCAGCGCTGGCGGATCGGAGCGGGGAGGGGGGAATCCAGCCCCTCCCCTGTCACGGCAGAGAGCCGTGACAGGATCGAGAGGTGAGCGAACGCCGGTATGTGTTCGCTCACCTCCCGATCTACTGAGCCGACCTGTGACAGTCTCATTGTCACAGGTCGGCTAGAACTATGAGGTGAGTGAAAAGCACTCACCTCATAGTTCTCCTTTAAGTTACATAACGCTTGAGTTATTTTACCTTAATCATCCTGCGGTATTTAACTCTTAGTGAACTGAGCCCACATAGTTTTACAGGTATGATTTTACCTTTACTCCTTTACTAAGTAGTTACTTACCTTTACTAAGTTACTTACCTTTACTAAGTATTTGCTGTCTGGCTGGGTCTCCTAGGCTTCCCTTACTCTTCACTCTTTGCTGGCTTGGTGGGCTGATATTGGGGTGGTGCACAGTTGCCCCCCTCCCTTGTTTCCCCTCCTTCTGCCCTCTCTCTTCCTACTGTGCTCTGTACTTTCTCAGTTTCTCCCTATTTGTTCTCCTTTCCCTTTCTCCATATTCGAGTATAGCCTCCAAGGATCTCTTTGTGCTCAGGTTAGACGTTTGACTCCCCAACACATATAACAAATATGCTATTGACGGTTTATGTTATGGCTCCTCTTTATATTTGTGTGACATGACAGCCTCACCTGTTGGTTGCTCTTTTAATTTTATTTGAAACTGTATAAAAAGCCTAAATAAAGAATTTACAAAAAGAAAAAAGATAATTTCAGAGCTCTCCCGCACCAACTAAAAACTGCAATATAAGCTGTGGGTAGGCCATACCTTTAAACAGTCAGAGCCGCCCCATCGTAGGACCTAGGCCCTGAAGAAGTTGTTACTGATAGCCCTAACATAAACAAATAGAACCTGTTTCTCCTTGGTCCCCAGGCCCTCCTGCAGGTCCGATAGGTCCAGCAATCCCAGGACATCCACGGAGCAGATCCAAGCTGTGCTTCCATCTCTCAATAATATTTACATCTATAAGGGAAAATGAAGGAAAATCATATATGGTGTCTATATTTTTGTGCATATGGCTTACTTCGTGTCAGTTCCTGTCAATTCTATTCCAGAACATTACAGACTCTTCATAGCCTAAAATGGCTAACAGCAGAATATGTGAGATGAATAGCCAATCTAAATAGAATGTTACACATCTCAAAGCCTGAATACATGACTTGCATATCAATAGTTTTGTGAAATAACACAATTTTGTTTCTTAAAGTACAGGTAAACCCTGACTGGGTATCAATAATAACTGCCATGGTTTTTTTGAAAAGTTAGTTTTGAATCCTTGCATATCTTGTATAGCAGCACTGCAGATCTCCTACAGCGTAATTGCAACCACTTTGTGGTTATTAACTTGTACCCCAACAACTGGTGTATGTCATTTGTCAGGGTGTGTTTCTTGATGGTGACAATAGTGGAACATGGCTGTAGACTTCACATCTAGACTCCATTGGAAGAGCATGTGACAGAGTGACAATGCGGGGGAACATTGGGAGAAAGGAAAAGGGTGTTATCACCTTATAAAGGAAGTGCCAGAACAAGGACCTGTGTGGCAGGATCATCGGATATTATCTTAATCAAAGCTGCACAATTTTAGATATTAAAAAAATACTTTAGTAGTTACATAACCATGTTAAACTTTTTAGTGACTTTGTTTACAGATGCGTTAAGCAAGTAGCATTTAAAATCATCTTACTATCAGTTATAAAAATAAGTATACACATTTTCTTTATGTACAAAACATAGTAATACTATCCACAAATAGATACTGTGCAACACTTGAAATTGTTGTGTTTTTTTTATCTTTGGAAAGTTCAGCCTTCTATGTTTTCAGGCTGAAGCAGGCTCACCAGAGGCCATCTGTAATGTTGTTAGAGTGGGATCATTTTGTCTGTCAACATAACATCAGATTTAAGGAAAGTATGATTTTTTGAGTCAATAGTCTAAAAAAAGATGCGTTTTAGTAAAGTGATCATTGCAATACACCATCATCACTAAACTAACATATAAATGATGGTTGCCCATTTCTGTTTTGCTATTGTAAGATATTATCTTCCACCATCTCTATATGACTAATCAATTGACAAATATGTCATGCGCTAGCCTTGATTCCATGCGTACATAGGAACAAAACTATAAAAAGTAATCATTAGTTTTAGAAACTTTTCAGTACATCTAATTTTTATTAGCAAAAATACAACAAACAAACATAAGAAAAAACTTTGGTATGAGTGTGGGCAACACAGAGGTGGATAAGGACACATACATATCAGGAAACATGGTATCATAAAGGAGAAGTAAATCAATTACACAGTATGAAATGTTTGTCCGCTGTCCAAGTTGGACGAAAGCAAATGGGAGGAGAACCATATAGCAAAGGAAAGAAGATGAGAAAGAAAATAAAGATTTAGGGAACCGCAAGAAGGGGGAAAGAGAGAGGAACAGAAAAGTCATAAGGGCTGTAAGTGCCATAAGGTGTTCCAAGTGATTCGTTCCTGATGTGAGGGTATAAGATAAGGAGTTGTGCTCGTCTCACAACCCCAGCATATTCCAGAAAGTCATAGAGGCACAATACAGACCAGCAAGACCATACCCGCAGAAAGTAGTCTGTCCTCTCCAGATCCCCGGCCACCAAGTCTTCCGTGTGCATCAAGTCATTCATGATGTCCGCCCAAAAGGCTAGAGATGGCGAGATAGATGATTCCGACTGTCTAGAAACTATTGATACTTTCATATCTATCTGGAAATCTTATGAACTGCTATACCATCAAAAACACACTAACCTGAGCAGGCTTCCACTGTCAGACAGAATGTGAGAGTGATCCAGAGGCTCCACAGTGTGAACTGGTGGGACCCCCTCATAGCTCAGACTGTTTGGTGATCCAGAAACTAAAACCACGGACCGTCAGCTCCTGCCTAGGAGTGTGATTGAGAGGTCAATGGCTTTTTGCTGCTAGTGCACAAAAGGTAACCATTGATACAGCAATATTTACTTTGGTTTCTATCTCTGCAGATTTTCCCAAGACAAATACCAGGGAATCTGTGTTGCAATGTAGCTTACCTTGAAGAGAAACTACAGTGTGGGGAGGAATTTATCAAAGCAATTGCGGCAGTTTTAACCTCTTAGATCATCTTTTATGTGCAAATCTGTCTTTTAACATGTGCGCCTGTTTTGACCAGAGCTTGCACTATTTTTCACAGTTTCGCGTGTTTTGCTAAAGTTCGCAACTGTTTACATCTGCTCTTGTTCTGCGGCTGTCTGAAACTGGAGCATCACCTAACAAAACAACTGCAACTTAAGAAGTCCCCAATACCAGTTCTTCAGGAAGCGACAGTTAAGCTTTTTGCCTGGCGTTAACCAGAAGTACTGAATATCTTTTTTCACTTCACTGCCAGTTACATATCGGTGACGCTGAGGAGGAGAGCTGTTTTGAGGCAATTGCATGATCATTCTTGTGAGCGTTTTTTTACTATTTTAATAAAAGTATATGGTTTTACTGTGTTTTGCTATGGACCTTTCTTAATGTTTAATGAGCACTTATGGAATCTGATGAATAGGGAGGGAGAAGGAGTGGTGTAATACTGATGGCAGGGCCGGCCTTAGGCCCTTAGGCACCCTGTGAGAGAAAGCTTTACAGTGCCTCTCAGTAACCACACCCCTCAGTGGCCACACCCATTCCCAATACCCACACCATTTAAAGCCTCCCATTTTGTTAAGCCCCACAGAAACAGATTAAAAGTGTGATAAAAATAAAACTTTTATTCAAAGGTATTAAACTTGTAAGCACAATAAACGTTTTCTTATTAAATAAAACAACAGTAGGCAAACAAGTGGTAAACAATACATTTCAGACTAAAATAGTGTCTATAAAAATAAAGTGTCAGGATGTCATGCAGACCCTTTTTTCAAGAAGGTGCATCTAGAAAAGAAAAAAGAAAAAACAGAACACAAAACCTAGACTATATGTTAAATAGTATTACACATATTTACCGATTCACCGCTCAGCCACGCACAGAGCCTCTGTCATCCTGGAACTGACAGGGTGACAGCGGCTTCTCCTCTCTCCTCCCCGCTCTGGACTTCTGACAGCTGTCGGCTCTGCTCTTCTCCCCGCTTGGCCAGCCTGACAGCCACACTCCCTTCTCTGCTCCCCCAGCGGCTTCAGCTGTGTATTTCTTCATGGATCCCTGCTGCCTTAGCCCATACAGGTGGGGTAGAGCAGCGGGGATCCGAGGAGAAGCTGCAGGCTGTGCTGCCCCTCTACCCCCTGCCGCCCTGAAGCAAGGACGTGTTTCTAGGACACAAGCTGCCCTACTTGCAGCTTGTGTCATAGTGAGCTGTGTGGGATGCCTGTCGCTCCTGTTGCCATGGCGCCCTGTGCGGTCGCACAGCTCGCACACCCCAAAGGCTGGCCCTGATTGATGGTTCAGCAATAAAGGGAATGGATTGGAAGTGGCTATTACTAATTCATTGAGCGTTGTATGAAAATGTTTTATACAATGGTCCATCTGATTGGGCAGTGCGGTCTGTCAGTGGTGGATGGGAAGAAGTGTCACCTAAAAGCACAACATCTATATTTCAGCTGGGACTTTCTTGGTTGCACTTTGTGGAGCACGGAATGCAATTTATGAACATTATATGAACTGGGATTTTATTCTGTTTTATTGTATATTTTTTTTTAGCGCTGGGCATTTGTTTTGCATTGTTATCAGGGACTCTTTATTGACTCTTTTGCACAGCAGCTTTTATATAGTTTTTAAGTAAGTAGGAGGTTAGATTAGGAGCGCAGATCTTTTAGTCAAATATGTCCCTTACCAATGTAAGCAATTATGTTGCGCTTGGTAGTGAGCAATATTCTTTACTGTATCATCTTACTGTGTTTCCATCTCAATAAAAATGTTTGTTTATATTTAAGTGAAAAATAAATGAAAAATAAATTGATAGATAAGGTGAACAACCAATCATAAAATAGTGTAAAATATGTATAATAAATAAATTAATGAATTATAAACTGTGTCTTTGTTTTGTTCAATATTTCATTAGTAAAAAATGTTTGTGATGTGACAATTAAAACAGTATTCTGTGATTAGACACTCGATCCCACGTCTATATGAATTACATGTGCATTCAGATTCAAAAGGTTGATGTCATCACTCGATTGGTTGATTCCAATTAAACAGCTATTCGATTCAGAGTGACCAATAGTGATGATAACTCACATAAAACATTTATCATCGCCCCAAAACGAAAAAAAAAACAGTGCCTCTATATAAGGCGTGGATTAGGGTTACGCCAACGATTCTTTCAATCAACGAGGCATTTAACTCTTTCACTCAGAGGAGGAAAAAATGAATGAAACGAAAACCAAAAAAAACACAAAGGGGTTGATTTACTAACCTTTTAAACACACCACGAACGTGTATACACATCTGTAGTGTGTTCCCTCCCAGCATGATCTATGGGAGGAATCGAAACACCTTTGTAGTGTGTACACACCCAGCAGGTGTGTTGTGCAAAGCCCTGCAATGAATTGCAAGGTAATGTGGTGTAAATTAGCTCTATGTTATGTTGCTTGCGTTGATGAATCCAGGAATGTAAATGCATGAGCTAACCATTTTTGTCTAAACTGTGAAGCAGCATTATATATGCATCATGTGCATGATTTTTCCATATATGGCATTAGTGGAAATATGCTTTTAGAGACTTTTTGGTTGATAAATACGTTTTGCTGTGTGAAAATCACACACACCTGGTGTGTGTGTGTGTTTAGGTTAGTAAATCACCCCCAAAGTGTCTATTACTTTGTCTTCAATCCATAAGTCCCCGAAGTCTTTATATTTCTCTCTCTCCTCCAATCGGTCAGCACACGGTTCTGATGCCGGTGTCGAACGCCCTCCAGGAGCAGTCCAACCGAGGGAGGAAGACGGGGAAAAGGACACGAGAGAAAGCAGATCTAAGTGTAGTCACAAAAGTCCTTTATTCCAAATTTAAATGATTACACTTACGAAATGAGTATTCTAAAATATTGATGTATAAAATTATTATCATTAAAATATTATGATTAAAATAATTAAAATTACATTTTATAAAAGAGATCACTAGAAGAGTTAGATTTGGGAGAATTTTACTTTAGGACCTATATATCTAGTGGGTATTTATATAAATTCATAAGCACTCTACGTTGTAATCTCACTCTTGTGCATTTTATTGATATATTCGTAATGGACACTAAGGTCATTCTGATTATTCTTTGCTCAAAAATTCAAATGTGGTCTAATCATCAGCCAAAAAACAATTCAGGTCTAGTTCCACATTTAAGCCTTTTGGGGTCATAGTCTCCATGAGAAAGATCCATTTTGTTTCATTTTTGGAGACTTCCCTCTTCATGTGGTTCCCTCTCCAGTGTTTTTTTATCCTATCTAAACTTATGAATTTTATTCCCTTTGGATTACATCCGTGTTTTTCTTTAAAGTGTCTTGGCACGCTGTGATTTAATTTTCCTTTCTTGATATTATTTATATGTTCCCTTATCCTAATTCTGAGTTCTCTTGTTGTTCTCCCTATATACTGGAGTCCACAAGGGCATTCCAGCATATATGTGACGTGCTTACTTTTACAGGAAATGAACTCCCTTATTTTAAAGTTCCTTTTATTGAAGTTAGATTGAAACTCTACTGTTTTCCTTTTTTGTCCTGTCACTGTGCATCCTATGCATTTTCCGCATGGGAAAAAGCCTTTTCCATCGAAGAAAGAGAAAGTTTGCTTAGGGGGTCAACTATATTCTTTACCAACCGGTTTTTGATGTTGGGGGCTTTTCTTTGGCTTTTTCTGGATCACTGGTCCTAGTATCCTATCCCTCATTAGGATAGGCCAGTGCTTTTGAAGGATCTGTTCAATTTCTTTATATTGAGTTGAAAAGTATGTGATGAAAAATAGAGGTTGGTCTTCTTTCTGTTTGAATACTTTGGGCTGTAACATTTCTTCTCTATCTAGTTTTTTTATGTTTTCTTTTATTCTACCTAAATTCTTTTCACCGTATGCTTTTTCCAGAAATCTCTTTTCAATGATGTTAGCCTGTTCTTCATAATCTTCTACCCGAGTGCAATTTTTTCTCATTCTAATGAGCTGTCCTTTGGGGATTCCTTTAATCCAAGATGGATGGTGGCAACTTCCCACAGGTATGTATACATTTCGATCGGTGGATTTGAAGTGAGTTGTTGTAACTAATTTATCACCTATCCCTCGTATCGTTAAGTCCAGGAAGTGTATTTTCTCTTTATTATAATTGTAAGTAAAACTAATTCCCTCCTCATTGGAATTAATATACTTCAAGAACTTTTCTAAGGAGGTGACACTCCCCTTCCATACTACGACCACATCATCTATATACCTCTTCCACAGTTGTAATTCAAGCCATTTATGTTCGTATATTGCACCTTCCTCCCATTTAGCCATAAATAAATTTGCAAGACTCGGGGCAAACTTAGCTCCCATTGCAACGCCTTTTATTTGGGTATAGTATTCTCCTCCATACCAAAAATAATTATTTTTCAACGAAAAATCTGTGCATTTAATGAGAAAGGAAATTTGAATCTCTTCTAAGTTTGAAAAATTTGTTAAGCCCCATCTTATCGCTTCTAATCCGTTCCTATGTTGTATAT